AATACTTACCAACATGCTTTAATCACACAAAAGAGAATACAAATGTGTTTTTTGCTGTGAATTTACCGTGTAAGTAGTTTCTAACAGCAGGGCCAATCCCGCAGTGCAGGACAGACATACATTAATATCAGCGCCATCTCCACCCTTGAAAAAGCACATGGAACATCGCAGCATAAACACAAGGTGGACCTAGATCATAGTGTATCTTACTGCCCGCTAAATATGAGGAGATAAGTAAATCCCGAGGGTAACGCGCTAAATAAGGAATCTTTGCATTCAATTTATCATTTTTACATTATTTAGGCTACTCCACAGGGAAATACCATATCTCTGTCATAAGTTATGCTAATGGCTGGTACTACCATCTGTGAACTGAGGACCATCAGTCAAGCATAGTGTGCAATCTATGAGTTATGGGAATAATGTGCCATCTATAAGAGATTAATCATAACGGGGAGTTCTGGGGCTTCCAGTGATCTGATATAGTCGCGACAGGGACATCAGGCCATCTAACCCAAAGCCGTCACACAACACCATCTCCACCAATACTCCTCCCCCTGCACAAAGAACCATGCCGGGTCCCCTCCAATCTACTCAATAAACAAGCCTGGGGCAGAACCCAGACAGGAGATAATGGTTCACCTGGAGGTGACAGGAAAAGAAAACAAAGCTCTTTGCATAGCGAATGCAGATAAAGATAAGCACAGTGAAGCACTTAGGAATCTTGATAAAGGATTATCCAAACAAGTCTGAAACTGAATACATTTTCTTTTTTTAAAGCATGCAGGAGCACTCTTTTAGAGAGAGCCAGTACTGCAGGTATTTTCCTGCTGAATTTGCAAAGCTGATGTTGTACTTCTGTGGTCAAATACATTTAGTAAAGCAGAAGTTCTCACAATCCACGCAAGGTTCAGAACCAGGGCAATATTCTTCTTCTGTTAATTCCATTGTTAATTTTCAGGCCTTTGTATACACCGTTTTCTCAACAGATCCACTGCGGGTTGATGCAAGTCTGCGTCCAATGATATATTTAGTTGCAGAGGAGGGCAAAGGAGCACATGCACCACCGCAGCCAGGCATTATCACAGCAAGGATAATTAATCTCATACTTTAGAATGTGTTGGTACTCACTATGACTCACAACACTGTTTAGGAAACGTATGAGGGAGGAGAGCCGGGGGCAAATGGCACAACAGCATGTGTTATGCAAGCAATGACAAAAAGCTGGTGAGTTCAGTGAGCGTTAGCAGCCCGTGGCCAAATTAGCCCATATCAGGACGTACAAAAACATCCATGCATGTGCCCCGCCGCTTGACTGGAGCAGAGAAAAGGAGGCCCAACCTGAGAAGAACGATTTGTTTGGGTGGTCGAGTTAAAGCCTAGTACTAAATGGGCAACGGTTCTGGTTAGAATGCTAATGAGCCCATTCCCCTCCTGGATGGAGACATCAAAGGAGAGTGGAGCTCCCTCTCTCCGGCTGCACAGGGCTTCATGGTAACATTACATGGCTCAGTGTGCGCCTGCATCAATGTGTCTGTGTGCGCGCGTGTCAGTGGGCGTGTGAGAAGGCGACGAATGCGGGGGGGGGGGGAGAAATAGACAACATGATGTTTACATTAGGTCTATTCTCTTGGGACTGTGCCAGCTTCCAGCCATGCTGTGACACACATCACACGAGCAACCTGGTACCATTCATAGTTACCCTCTATTCACCGAGGCCTCATTTAGCATGCCATTATCAGAGATCATTGTTATTTCCCTCTATGTATGTATGGAATCCCAGTGAGACCAACATGTCTAGCGCAGATAACAGTGCTATTTCGGTTAACCCCATTGTGTACATAATACTGAAGACATACAACCCATAGAGAATTCCCATCAGTGATTTCTAAGGATTTAATAGAGCACCAGGGCATAAGAATCGTTTCTAGATTAATTTAGCTAGGAACTGATGCTAGGGAATATAATAATGTATTTATTTATTTTTGGGCACTGGACAAATTGCACCCTGGGCTTTATTTTCACCCCATTCACATCGCACTGGCATAAAGCCAAAAAGACTATCACAAATATAAGTATTTTCTGCTTTACTTGGACCACACACTGCACTTTAAATTAACAATACCATATACGGTGAAGTGAAACTTTCCTCCCAAAAGTTACCTACACATGGAGATAACATCAATTTCTCAACAAAAATAAAATGTCTATAGCCAGGAGAGTTTCCAAAAGTGTGTAGGTGGTATACTAACTTTTTTTTTCTACATAAAGCAAACACTTTGTCCAGTTTTCACATACTGGCGGGAGGCCCACCTCTAGAACTAAGAGAACTAAACATGGCTCAGGTGTGTGAGGCCAACATGATGGATCATCCTGCTGTGAAGCTGCCCCTCTGCAGAGCCCTGAGAAGACAGCTGGGAGATAAGGCCGGCCCTATATGAGAGCACATCTCCTTTTCACATCGATCCTACCCGCCACCAAGGCAGGAGGTCTTCACATGCCAAGCCACAGATAGGGGTAGAGGGAGCAGTTCTGCAGGTTTAGCAGCCATCTTCTAGTGATAAAGACACAGGAAGATAAAACCCCTCTTGGCCTCATGCAGATAAAAGCATAAAGCTTTGTTAAATTATTAAGCATGGCCATTGTAGCAAAAACAAGCTTCACAAGAATGCACACATAAGTAAAGAAACAGACTTGAGGTTATCATTATGAGCACGAGGAAATGTGAGTCTAAGTATTTTACAGTTAGTTGGCCTTGTATCTTCTGCCAGTAATGTGGCAGGAATGGAATCACTGGAAGTACATTGTTAAAAGAATGAAAGGAGGCTTTGCTCTCAAAACATGACACTAGCTTTAGAATTCCTTTGGAGTTAATAAGCACAGCTGCAGGTCACAATCAACTCAAATGTTTTCTGGCAGCGTTTGACATTAATTGACACACAAGATCTCACGTGACTGTGTTGACAGTCCCAAATTCCACTTCATTTTGGTTGCTGCTGTGTTGAAACGGAGCAATCTTTAATACCTTTACACCCATTACTCGCTAAAGAAGAACCTTGATCAATCAACAAGGCTCCGTGTCCTAAGATTCGCAGAGCTGTAAAAGGGTGATTTGCCATAAAATAACAATAATGAAAACATAATAGCAAAGAAAATTGCTTCTTGTGTTTTTCTATACACGGAGAATGAATACTGAGAGCCGAGTGCAGCAGAGACAGACACCAATCAGGAGGACAGTATACCTGCTTTACAGGGCCAGGCTTTGTTATGGAGACGTGTGTTTGTGACCTCTGATCTCAATCACCAATGGGTTTTTTTCAAAAGCAGTGAGGGCCTCTCCATTTCGCTGTTACAGATTGGGATGCGGTACTGCTATCCAACAACAGCTGGAACGTCTTAACCGTGTATCAGAAGATAAGGGCCACTCCAGGCTCGTGATTAGATGTGAATAAGTAATTTCAACAGGCTCTGTGTTCTGAACTCTCAATGGTATGCTGCGAATGGATCTGGCCCTTCCTACATCCAGGACATGGTTAAACCGTACACCCCAGCGCGTGCACTACGCTCTGCATCAGCCAAACGACTCGTTGCGCCCTCGCTGCGAGGGGGACCCAAGTTCCCAACGGCGAAAACACGTGGGTTTGCTGTCCTGGCTCCAAGATGGTGGAATGAGCTCCCCATTGACATCAGGACGGCAGATAGCTTGCACATCTTCCGGCGCAAACTGAACACTCATCTCTTTCGACTCCACTTCGAGCGTTAGAACTATTAACGAAGCACTTTTATACTAATAAAGGACTGGCTTACCTAAAGCCAGTGGAGTAGCACTTGAAATGTTTGGCTCTATGAAACCTGATGTACTTATATGATTCTGTTTTCTTCAAGGTTGTGTCTTCCTGGTCGAATGTACTTATTGTAAGTCGCTTTGGATAAAAGCGTCAGCTAAATGCAATGTAATGTAATGTAATGTAATGGACATCATGTGCACCGAGCAGGTAACTATGCTGTGGCTTTGATGTTACTTTAGGCACATCCCTCGCCTCAGATGAATCAGATTTCATGCCAGGTGTTTAAATCATAATAAATAAATAGAAACTGAAAGAAGTGCCATTTTGCAAAGTGCATAATTATGTCCTGTGTGCTGCTTTTGTTAAACAGATGTATTCACTCTATAGGAGGTATATGAAACTTGGAGGAACATTTTTGATGGAACAATTGACATCTGCATGTGACATTTTAACAAATATCATTATTTATTTTTTTGTTCTGTGATTTAAACAATGTTTTATGTTTGTATGCACTGTGGATAAACAGGAACAACACAGTTCACTGTTATTAGATATTAACTTGTGAATAGATATATTTCATAAAATGCAGCCTAATGTACAGAGAACATTCTGTAAAACTGAAGCAGACGATGACATATTCAAAGTGACAACCGACACAGATGGATAAACAGATGCTGAAGCAGTGACCTTATTTCATTGTCATACTATTCCAACATATCGTCAAAAAATCCCCTTTGGACTCAAAATTAACAGTACACATCTAACTGGGTGGAATTTTCCCCAACCTCTTATTGCTGTGGTGAAGAATGATTATTTCAATCATGTCAGTGAAAAGTCAAATTGAGAAAAGAACAGTTGGATTGGGCAGTAACAATCCTACTGGAGTTCCCAACCCATTATTCCCACACCACGGTCTGCTGCCTCAGATTCCCTGCATTGCTTTGATGATAATGTTCTCCGGCAGGCCGCTAAAGTTATGACCGTGTCGCCGTGTGGCACAGTGCGAAGCTGCACTGCACTACGCTCTAATGTTCTTGCCTTGCATTCAGCCCCGTTTTAAATAAACACTTGAGGCGAAATAGACACTAACGTCTGCCATGAACCCATGGAAGAACATGGATGACTATGTGAGACGACATGGAGAGAGTAACATGAATTGCTTCATTACCATGGGAACAAACAATGTAAAGTATCACAAATATGTTAACTCACCTCCCCCTCCTCCCAGAAGACTGGAATTTGCTGAAAAGAGAAAGAAAAAAAAATGTCAGAAAAACTTCAAGAGTAAGCAAATATGGATTAAGAGTCGGCAATATTTGGACATTAAAGTCTGGATTCTCCAACAGAGGGATTTTTCTGAAAATACACCTTAGAAGCACATTTTCCTTTACTCTTATGATCATCTTATATCTATTAGAAGTATTAATAACACATTTCACTGAGAATCTGAACAGAAAATGCAGTATATTTTCAAAGTCCTCGAAAGAAAACAGGTTAGTATAAGGTGCCAAGACAAGCTTGAAATTGGCTTGAATGAATTAGTCACATATTTGTTGCAACTCTTTTTTCTGGCAATGCAAGATTTAAAAAAAAATAATTCTGGTAGCTTCTGAAAACACCAGAAACATCTAAAAAGGTAGAAAACTAAAAGAAGGTAATCTGATACTTTTTTTTTAACCACATCCCCAATTGACAGAAGTAATTATTTTGTGTGGTAGTGTTTTTCTTTGAATGCTAAATTTGAATACAGTTATCAAGACTTTTAGCAATAAGACACAGCACATCTTCTTTGTAGTTTCTATGGTGTCTACATGTTATGACTATCTGCTCAATTACACACCAAACTTGGAAATGGGTGTCAAGAGGAGCAAGTGAATGCACCAAGTGGCTTTCTAGGTTCTTTATGGGAACACAAATCTTTGGACTTGAGCTCTTCAAAACAAGACTTGTGTTAAAAAAGGGAGATGCTACATTCTCACGTGTGACAATTATATCTAGAACACGCTCTTTAATAAAGCCTCGCTCAATGTTATTCTGTTGTCAGTATTAAGACAGTTGGTTCAAAAACACATACTATCACTCCGCCCTGTTGTCCTACCTGAATCTCCAATATTAACCGTAGTTTACTGGTTCCAGAGAAGGTACCATCGGCTAAGGAGAGTGTATCATTAAAAATGAACCTATCTGTCAGTTGGAGACATCCGTTGCACATTAGAGGAGAAAGATTAGAGGGGATTTAGAGTACATCTGTTCATTTGAGTGTTACTGAAAGTAGGTAGCCTATGTGTTTGAAGTGTAGTTCATCCAGCGGGCATTGAGAAGAATCATACACTGCAACATGCCTTTTAATGATCTTCAGTTTCAGTGACGGCATTGGCTATCATTAGCAGTGAACGCTACTATTAAACGCTTATTATTTCTCAAATACGTTATGGTGCACAAGCAAGAGGTAATGAACAATTTGGTATGAAAGAAGAGCTCTCCAACAACACCACAGTCCTGAATCTTGTTTTTTTAGTTTGGGCCTGAATACTTGTATGAAGGGGACTTCTGGAGTTCACTCAGTTTCCACACCTTTCTGTGGCACCATTATGGCTTTGTATTGTTCTCATTTGAGCACCACACATATGAGTGGGCACGGGGACAAAGAAAGCTCTCCCACTGCAGAATTTGTTTCATCAAAGAGCTTTTGTGTGTGTGTGTGTGTGTGTGTGTGTGTGTGTGTGTGTGTGTGTGTGTGTGTGTGTGTGTGTGTGTGTGTGTGTGTGTGTGTGTGTGTGTGTGTGTGTGTGTGTGTGTGTGTGTGTGTGTGTGTGTGTGTGTGTGTGTGTGAGAGTATACAATATGAACATAACATAAACACAGAAGAGACAGCAACTCAAACAGGGATGTACTGACAATCCACTGTCATGTTTACAATAGCACCTCTCCAGGTTTTTCTGTGATGAAAAATACTTGTGTACTATCCCGGCCCTTTGTTGAGCTCTGGAATGTTTCAGCTATCAACAGCAAGCATACAACTCAAACATGCATTTCCAGAAAAACAAAAACCTGCCTGTTCCCATGCTGCTGTAACAAAAACAAATCAGAATTTGGGATACTGTAAGGTATATCTAATCTAATCTAATTTGTGTTAAAGTATGTAGTCTATGGTAGTTATTCTTATGATGAGATATGATGATCCTATGATATAAATGCTTAAAGCTTCTTGTTGTTAATCTATCACCAGTCAAATGTAAGAACTAGCCCCGGTGCCTAAACTAAGAGTATGCAGGCTTTTCATAAAGTCTATCATCATTCTCTAATCTCCTGGGGAGTCTTCCTATTCCTGAGCTATTAAAACACTGGGGTTTAATTACCTGACATTATGGAAATGCATACCTGAGGGGGGCGCTTCATTTACTCCATACCTAATCAGAGATTGGAGATGTGGTTGCTAATCAGTCAGAAACAAAATCTTGTGTGTGTGTGTGTGTGTGTGTGTGTGTGTGTGTGTGTGTGTGTGTGTGTGTGTGTGTGTGTGTGTGTGTGTGTGTGGTGTGTGTGTGTGTGTGTGTGTGTGTGTGTGTGTGTGTGTGTGTGTGTGTGTGTGTGTGTGTGTGTGTGTGTGTGTGTGTGTGTGTGTGGTGTGTGTGTGTGTGTGTGTGTGTGTGTGTGTGTGTGTGTGTGTGTGTGTGTGTGTGTGTATGTGGTGGTAGTAGTGAGCGGAGTAATCCGGGGGTTGAGATGTTGGATGCTTTCTAACCACATGTGACTTGGTGTGATCACGGCAATAGCCCACTAGGAGATGAAGAGCATTTGACAGCCACCTCATCTCTGCAGTGGGTTTGATAAACATAGAAGTAAGGAGGGGTAAAAAAACATGGCTTTATGCCTTTTCATTTCCCCTCTCCCTGCATCCTCTCCTTTAATGATCAGAATGTCATGAAAAAGTGTTTTGGCAGTTTATCTTAAAGTTCACTGTGCGGCTTATGCACACACACATATCTGTAACCTACAGAGTCACTGAGCTCAGCCCACAGAGATACATATCAGGGCAGAGATTAAAATCCCAAAGTGGATGTGGACTTGTTTTGAAACTCCGTCTTCAAGCATGAGATAAATAAGAAACAGCTGGGAGAGAAGCTAACCTACAGCAGCACAACGAGCAGCCCTACACTGGATGTGTGCTTGGCCATATGCAGTATGATTTTCCTGAGAAGTGCTTCAATTATCTTGAGTGAAAATCAAAACAGAAATCCATATTTGGCCACATCCACTCCATAATGCATATTTTATAGAGTGTGTATTAATTATAAACTAGCTCTCCTTGCTGTTTGTGCCTGCCCTGGGCTCAGTCGGGCTATCTTGTGGCGAATCAACACATTTCTGCCTTCAGGGAAGCAGTGGGAGAGCCAACATTTAGTATTATCAGAAGACCATTAGCTGTTCCTTCTGCATGAGGAGTTGTCTCTTTGAATGCATGTATAATTGGTTTTTGACTTGTCCATCCTCTCTTCAGTGTCTGCCGCAGTGTGTCCCCTTGAGAGTTTTGCGAATCAATTCATAATTTTTTTTCTGCAAGGACATACAAGGACCTCATCTCCGTCTTTTAAAACATCTACACTGATCCCATCACATAAGACAAATGACTGCAGTGATCTTTTAATATTTCACAGAACCTGACAGTTTATTGTGGTATTGACCCAGTTAACGAGAAGAAAGAGGGAAGCCAAAGTAGTAGGCTTTGACTTGGTGTTTGTCAGGAGTGTTGCTGAGAGTCGTCCCAGTAGCAAACACAACATGGGTCATAAATCTCAGCGGAGGGGCTCCCTGGACTGCGTGAAGATGGCAGGTCATTAGGAACTGCTGGTCCACGGCATTAGGCCGGCCCATCAAACATATGACTGAACTGTCACTGTAGGAGGACCCGTTTCCTGTCTGCCCTTTGACCTCTTAACCCTCGCAGCAACCTCATTTATCCCTCAGCCAATCAAATAGCAGTGGAGGCGCTGTTGTGTATTTTCACGGCAAGAAAATATTGATAACAGAACCCTAGCCGGAGAGCGTGATTGTGGCGCTGCGTCAAGAACAGACACAAACAAGGTGAAAAGGAAGGGGGAAACCACCCGCTTGTCTCAGTGTGTTCATATATTTGCAGAGCATTCATAAAAAAAACCTATGTGCACTTGAATGGCTGAGTCCTGTGTGTGCAGAGGGCAGTGAGGCATGGATCTGGGTTGTGTGTTTGGTGTCGTCAGCAGAGCCCTAGATCATGCAGTTAAATGGGAAGTGCTAGTGCATAACCACAAAACCTCAGGGCAGTAAACAGATTCACTGTCTACCTTCTGGTCTCTGCCACCTAAACAGAACCCTTAAAATATATGCCATCACATACACACTCCCCTTATCCACAGCAGCCTCTCGCCACACTTCTCAATAAGCTCAGAGGTTAATAGTGTACTCTGCTGTGGCTCTGGGATAAAAGGCAGGGTAGAAACTAATAAAAAAGTTTTATGGTTAAGGTTGCCTTCTCTGTTGCAAATAGATGAGTCAAAAAAAAAATCCTCTTCATTTTTCAAAGCAACCGGGCAGTCACTGCAATAAAAAGCTACCGGCCTATCTGTGTCTGCAAATCTTACAGCTATTTCAGACGGATTGCCAGTAAATACATCAAATAAACTGTTATATGGTTGATCTTTGCCATGTTCTATTTTACCTGTAGACTACTTGATATCACCAGATTCCAAATACATTAGGTGAGGGTTTTGATGCGTGTCTTACCTGCCCATTAAGAGTTCTGATTTTAGTAAATGTGACTCCAAAAACACAAACTGTCCCAGATACAAGAGAAAACTAGGTCAATATTGTTGCTCTTTGTAACCGGGAGTCACGTCTTTTTATTCTCTCCATTCTTCTGCTTTAATTAGAAATCATGTTCACAGCTAATTTGGTGGGCACAAATGAGCACCTACAACACAATGAACTGCAAATGGAAGGCCTTAAAATACAAAAGAAAATAGTCAAGAGAAACAAAAGGATGATCATTTTTCAGATGATGTTGACACTTAGAGGGTCATTAGATGTTCCTCTTCAGTGTTCTGATGTCTAATACGATCACTCTGAATGTTCAAAGAGTCAGTGGAGTGAAGGACTTGTTTTTGTTGAATAACGTGCTGCTCACACACAGACGCTTTTCCACTCCGCCAGCTTTCCTAACAAGCACTGTACACACACACAGACAGACACAAGAGCCCACATGT